CAACCAGAGTTACACAGAGAAACCTTGTGTCAAAAAAAAAAAAAAAAAACCCAATAAATAAATAATGAATGAATAAATACAATTTAAAAACTACTTGATGCTCTTCAAGAGGATCTGGGTTAGGTCCCCTGCATCCTTGTGGTCAGTCACTGCACACATATGGTGTACGTATACACATGTAGGTATTCTCATATACTTATTAAAATAAATATTTTTAAAAACTTTTCAAATTCTTTAATACTTTCAAGTTTGGCTCCTACCTGGGCTGTGTTGAGCAGAGAAACATGTGAATTAAACATTCCAACAAAAGGGCAACTATGCAATAAACTCTAATATGGTTAGGTTGCCTTCATATCACACATACACACACACACACACACACACACACACACACACACACACACCATACAGACACAGAAAATAAGTAAATGTAAAAGAGTCCCAGTCCCGTCCCTGAGAACTGGAGTTGCAATGCTGTGCAATGAGATATACCAAATTCTGAATTCTCAGTTGAGATTACAGGTGTGTGCCACCGTGCCCAGCAAGATTTAACTTTGTTAAGGATAATATTCCTCCTTTGCCAAGCATGATGGTCCATGCTTATAAAATCTTGGCAGTCTAGAGGGTAAGGCAGAGACTCTGAGAGCTCCATGCCAGCCTGGACTACATATCAAGACCCTATCTTAGAAAACACAATAGTAAAACATTCCTCTTTCCACAGCTTAAGTCCTCTTTAGTTTTCCAACGTATTTCCACTGCCTCCCCATTCTGCTTAGGCCAACTACTTACTTATTTTGACTTGTTAGTCGCTGTGTAGTTTACCATGGACTAGTGTTACCTTCCTAATATACGACCTTGCAGTGTTATTAATAGCAGTAAGAGGTGCTCCTTTGCCATCCTCCCCTGTCTTATTTGAATGCAACCTGTTAGGGGAAAGCTGGTTACTTTCTTGGACACTACAGAACACTCAACATGTTACACCGACTGAATTAAAGATTGATTGGCCATGGCTTTATCAGCCACTATTTCTGCTAATTAGGCAGGCCGTCAGAGGTCTGGGGCCACCATCCTTCTGTTCACTGGCCTGGGACAGGAGTACCCTCCTCAGGTTAGGACAGAAAAGGAGCCCGACCTGGCAGCCCGCTTGAAAACTCGGTTCAGTCAGCACCCAGGTGCCCAGGGAGGACGCAGGAGGAAAGGAGAGCTCCCCAACCTTCCCATCACCTGGTTGGGGACAGGGGTCACCACATGTCCTCACCAGCAGAGTTGTTTTAGGAGGGCTATTCTCCATAGCCCTGAAGCTGACAGAGGATGGCAAGGGACTTGAGTGGAGAGAAAGAGATTAGATCACAGAGTGTGTGGCAGGCCAGTGTCACTGTGCCAACAACCCTGTCGCCCTGCCAACCCGGAGGCCACACAAAGGGGATCGCTTAGCGCAGCCCAGGCTTGGCACTAAGTCGCTGATTCTGTCCGCCGCCTGCGTGGCTGGTGCCAGGGCCTTCTAGATCCTGACAGGATGAACCCTGGCTGGTCCACTAACCTGAGCCTCCGCTACCAGGGTAGGGGAGGAGAGCTAGTGCAAGGAGGACCCCAGGACAGGCTGGGGAGCAGATTAAGAGTGTGGTGGCACCGGAAACGGGCAGAATAATATGGATACAGTGGGTGGGACAGCAGGGCCCAGTAGTTGAGCATCTAGGATATGTGCGAGGTAAGGCGGATAAACATTCGACCCAGCCAATCTCTGCCGGGTTCTCCCGCCCGGACACCCATACACACAGGTCCAACCACAGTACACATGTGCTGTGCTGGAAATGAGAGCGGAGTTGGTTGCTGGTCTTGGGCCTTCCAACGTCGTTTGCCGGAGTAGAGGAGTGGGACTCACACGTCTCAGTCTCACGGAGTTCACTGTCCATCAGAGAAACGAGGCCAAGGGTGAGGAGGGCAGAACTGGCTGGAAACCGTGTCCTTCAGCTCGCCCATCCCCCAAATCCACCAACCTTCAGTAACACACTGAACCTTGGGTGACTGAAATCTTGATAGCCCTGCCTCCACTTTCCAATTACCCTGATTACACCTTGTACCATGTCTGGCCTAGGCAGCTTCTTTTTTCAACTTCAGTGAGCCATTAGAACTGCGGGAAAGTAAGAGCAGTTACTACAATGGAAAATGAGCTGTTGGAGAAAAACAAAACAAAACAACACTGTCTTGTGCTTTCGTGTTACTTATTGCTACAGAAGAAAAATAAGATTTATAAAAATTTTTAATAGATGTGAGCCATGGCTCACAATCAGAAGAACTACAAAAGAAAGTTAGTAGGGACACCTGTGATAAAGCAAACCTTTATTCCCAATACCAGGCAGAGGATCTCTGTGAGTCTGAGACCAGCCGGGTCTGTGTAGCAAATTCCAGGGCTAGCAAGACCGTGTCTCAAAAAAGAAAAACACCAGTAGGAAGGACCAGGAATGAATTATCCTACAGACTACATTCCTAAAGCTAGCCACCAGAGTCTATTCCCTTATTCGGCTACCTACTCATTCCTAAACCTGATCACCAAAGTCCAACTATCAAAATTCATTTTTTTTTACTAACCTCATTAAAATATCCAATCAGATATGCCCTAGACATTTTAACAGTCCTTCCCCTTTTCCCTTTTAAAATTTGAACTTGCAAAGCTGTTTGCGGCTGCTTCTGGATTCAGATTCTGCCACCTTACGACTTCACCTTGCTTAATAAAGGATCTCATTGTGTTTGCTTTGTGTGTAGAAATTAGTATTCGGGTGTATTCTGTGCTTAATTCAGGGTCCGGAGAGGAGCACCCCACAGTACTCCTTCAAGGTCGTAACAGGAGAAAGAGCAAATCTTCAACTCTGAAAAGCTGATTCATCATCATAAATAACATGACTGGGATCTCGAAGATAAAAAACCTTTTAAAGAAAAAAAAAAAAAAAGGAGTGTTTCTTAACCACAGTGATTTTTTATTTTTGACCCTGGGGGCAGAGGAGTGGAACAGGTTTCCACATAACTTAGCTAACTACCAAGGAGTCACAACACAAAAACTAAATAAAGGTAATTGTTTTATGTCTGGATAACAGGAGCTGGGCTTTCCTTTTTGCCCTATCTGAGGCCTGGGGCTCTAACAGTCACTAAGGAAAGAATGGACTTTTATTATCCTTCATGGGTCTTGGTTCTATCCATTTTCTCTACCAGTTCAACAACTCAAAAATCCTCCTGCCTCAGTGAGCTCAGTGGATGAGAGGGCTAAGCTACCAAACCATCTGAATGGTAGTCTTTATTCTTAAACAATATGTAGACATCCTTCCACTTGAAAAATTAATGTGTTCAAGAAAACAATCAACAAATAAATATATAAAGCAGAGGTCTAGGAGTGCTGGCACATGACCTTAATCCCAGCACTTGGGGGGTAGAGGCAACCTCTACAAGATCAAGGCTAGCCAAGGCTATATAGAGAGACTTTGTCTATAAATAAATAAATGTGGGAAATGAAATGAAACAGAAATGATCTTCTCTTTTCCTGTTGTGTTTCACAGTAGTGCTACAAATGTGTTTGAAAAAAAAATAACCTTGGGTGTTCTCTTTGTCTACAGTTCAGGTTGGATCCCAGCAGTGGCCCAGGCATTGGGCAGTCTTTCCCTGTGGTTAGCATTCCACAATCCTGGTGAAGACCTTGTTGTGCTCATATCTTCTTGGAGACCTTTGGGAGTCGCTGTTAGGATCTGGGATTCTTTGTCATAATAAGTTTAAGCATTTTCATGCTATATTTAATACATTTTCTGACAGGTTTGAAGGCCGGTTCCTACCAAGAATATCTGAATTAAACAATCTTTGTTATTTAGTTACTCATGTTAGGCATAACAATGAAAAGATTTAAAAAGGAGACTAGGTAAACTTAATTTTGTAATTAACTGGATCAGTTCTTAGTTTTGAACATATTAAAGGTCCTGATTATCCATAAGGTGGCTGATCATCAACTTGCATTTCTTAGTTACCCTCAACAGTTTGTAATAATTTAGTTTTTTTTTTTTTGTTGTTGTTGTTGTTTAATTTTGAAAAAAAAATAGGAGGCCAAATAGAGCTCATCCTGGCAATCAACTATGATCATAACCACAATCATGAATGTTTTAAAGAATACAACCATTCATGAGGTAACTGACAATCAACCTACATACCCCAATTATCTTTAACAGTCCATAATAAAGTGATAACCACTGAAATGAAGCTCCTTCTGCATCAAAATTCTTAAATATAGAGACTGAAAACTTCCCTGACCCCATATGGCAAACCACCATAGAACACAATAGTTCTCTGTATGACCCAGTTTACAAAAACCAGCTCTCCTAACAATGTTAGTAAAAACAAGGAGGCCAAACATATACATCCTTAAATCTGTCTTTGATAGCTTGAATATACCCCATGAGGCAGTAATTTTAACTTTCTTTCAATGTTGTAACCTCTTAAGGTATACATTCTGTAGTTGTTGTAGTAACCATATTATTATTATTATTATTATTATTATTATTATTATTATTTGCTTGATCAAGCTCACAAGGGCATAGCTTTGAAGAATAAGTCTGGTACCTCTTTCTCAATTATGCTTCCTGTCTTTAAGCTTCTCTAAGTTATTTGTGTGTGCTGGGGATGACAGTTATAAAGTATACTTGCAAAGGCATATGCCATGTTACTAAGGTATACTCTGACCTTCAGTTGCTATATTTTAGACAAAAATCAGATATTCTATATGGTGTGCTGAAGCTACTAAAGTATATAAAGTCTACTATACATAAAGCACATATATAAAATCATATGTATGGCCTTTAATAGGTTAGTTTCAACTACAGAGCTCCGGTGATGACAACAAATTCATCAAAACATTGCCTAGAACACTTGCTTAGCATTCCTGAGTCTGTGGGTTTGATCCAAAGCATGACAATAAAAAACAAAAATCTAAAAAAAGAAATTGCCTTCTACATATTGGCAAGGAATATCATTATATTTCTTTATTGGGTTATAGTTTAACATTTTGATTTCTGATAGCACACTTAATAAAAATTACATTTGAAAATTCACATGAAAATTACATATACTCATGTTTTGTTATACAATTTTCTAATGTATAAAAATGGTACATGTTCTGTGTGTGCGTGAGAGAGCGAGAGAAGACTAGAAAGAAGAGATCATACCTATGCACAAGCAGAGGCCTGAGGATATGCAGCTATAGATCAAGAGCTTGTCTCAAAACGAAACAATTAAAAAATGGAAACACAATCAAAAAGTTCATATCTGGTGAAGCGTTAAAACTGTGGATGATTTTAACTGATATACAAATGAGCCATGCACATAAATATACTTAATCAAGATGACACAAAAAAACTTCTAGTGTAGAATATAGCACAAGACTCATGAGCACACTGCCTGCCACTAAGCCACATTCAAATCAAGTTAACTTTTAAACGTCAGATCTGCTCTCATCTTCATAAATTATCTGATGGCTGGTACTGTGGAAGCATGGCTGAATGCCTTTTTGAGAATCCTTACATCCATGAATTGTTAATGAAACTTTGTAATAAAGTCACTTGGACTACAAAAGTATGCTTTCACATTGGAATCCTGTGCCAGATGAATTTCAAATTCACCTCAAAAGTTTTTGCACTCTTTATATTCTTAGGGTTTTAAACACATGGGTTACAGTGTCATTACATGAGATGGGGCACTTCAAGAAGGTTTTGATGATTTTGATCATATGAATCGACCTATGTTGCTAAAGCTAGTCTTCAATCACTGACTCTCAGTAAACCCACAGTACAAGGATCTAGGATAGAAAGCAAGTGGTATTATACCACAGTATGATTTTATTCCTTACTTGTCATATCATACACGAAGTTTCTAATGTAGATTTCTGTTTCAACATGTGTCTGTTTTTATTAATTTCACTGGACCTCACACCTGCACAAGTTTTCAGGTGTGAATTAATGGGGCTTAATGTTAGAAAGCTTTCCTCTCTTCTTTACATTCAGTGTTACTCACCTACAATATACTCAACTCATTTGAAGAATGATGAAGCTTTTCTCTATTTTTTTAACTTAATAGGAGAAATTACCATGTGTGGCTTCTCTTACAACAGCATATGTGGTACTATGCCTTCCAACAATGTCTACTGACAGCCTCCAGTTCACTGGTTGAGTAACAGCTGGCTTACACTAGCAATTTTCCAGTTTTTACATTCATCAGATTCTCACCTGCAAGCTTTCTGATAATGCACTTGAATAAGATTTCACACATTCTTTATATTCTTAGTCTTTCTTATCTGACTCTGAGTGAGGTGTGGCATGAAGGAGATTTTCTGCATTTGGCACACTCACAGGGTTTCTCCCTTGTATGAGTTCTTTCATACACAGAGAGGTTGCATTTGCAGTGAAACACTCTCCTGCATTATTCTCAGATAATGACTTCTCATGGGTATGAGTTCTCTGATGTCGAGTGAGTTGTTTTTTAAAGTAGTAAGCTTTTCTACACTGTTCACATGCATAGGGCTTCTCACCTGTATGGATTCTCTGATGTTGCGTGAGGTGTGACATCCAGGAGAAAGCTTTCCCACACTCTGAACAATAAAATGACTTCTTACTTGCGTGCGTTTTCTGATGTAGGGAAAGATATTTCTTACAGTAGAATGCTTTCTTGCATTCTGTGCACTGATAGGGCTTCTCACCTGTATGGACTCGATGATGCTCAATGAGCAAGTACTTGTTATAGAATGCTTTTCCACACTGGTTACACTCATAGGGCTTCTCACCTGTATGGGTTTTCTGATGTGCAGTAAGTCCAGACTTGCTGTAGAATGTCTTCCCACATTGCTTACATTCATAGGGCTTCTCATCGGTGTGAGTTCTCTGATGTACAGCAAGCTGTGTCTGAGAGTAGAATGCTTTCCTACATTCTGTGCATTGATAGAGCTTGTCACTTATGTGAGTTCTCTGATGCACAGTGAGGTGGGACTTGCAGTAAAATGCTTTTCCACACTGTTTACATTCAAAGGGTTTCTCACCCGTATGAGTTTTCTGATGCACAGCAAGGTTAGACCTCCAGTAGAATGCTTTACCGCACTGTTTACATTCAAAGCGCTTCTCAGCAGTGTGAGTTTTCTGATGATGAGTAAGCTGTTTCTTAAAGTAGAAAGCTTTAGGGCATTGTGGACATTCATAGGGCTTCTCGTTTGTATGAGTCCGCTGATGTCGAGTGAGGCATGCACTGAAAGAGAAAGCTTTCCCACATTCTGCACACTCATAGGGTTTCTCACTTACATGAATTCTCTGATGTAGAGAAAGATGTGTGTTACAGTAGAATGATTTTCCACATTTCATACATTCATAGGGCTTCTCCCCTGTATGACTTCTCTGGTGTCGAGTGAGTTGTGACTTATAGTAGAAAACTTTCCTACATTCTGTACATTCATGTGGCTTCTCCCCTGTATGACTTCGCTGATGTACAGTGAGATGGGACTTATAGCTGAAGGATTTTCCACATTCTGTACACTCATAAGGTTTCTCACCTGTATGACTTCTTTGGTGTTCAGTGATTTGTGATTTATAGTAGAAATATTTCCCACATTCTAAACATTTGTAGGGCTTCTCATCTGTATGAGTGCTCTGACGCTGAGACCTGGTGTGAGAAGCTTTCCCACATGCTGAGCTTTCACAGGGCTTCTTACCTTTATGACTTCTCTGATGTTCCTCCAGGTGTGAGTTCCAAGAGAATGTATTCCTGCACTGTCTACGTGTATACAGTGTCTCTTCTTTAAGAAGCCTCTGGCAGTTACTGAAAGGTGACATGTAACTGAAACTTTTCTTACATGTGTCAATCATCTGACTCCTCGTGTGCTGTGACTGCTGGCAAAATATCTTCACACATCCTTTACCTTTATAAGATGTTGTCCCGTGGCGGATTTTCTCTGCCCACTTCAGGTCTGCCTTGAGACAGAGAAATTAGTTATATTTTATACAGCTATAGATATTTTTTTTTCCTAGAATGTGCTTTCTGATTTTGGTTTTGAATTTTGTTTGTGCTCTATAGATAACATCATATATAAAGATTTCTAATATTTACTGAGTTTGCCAGAGATCTCCTTAATATGAAAATCCATTTGGAAATAATGTTGCCTTTATTTAAAACACTATCCATGGTCAAATATATTGAAAACACCAATGTCAACTTTGACTGAGGTTTTGGCAAATTAATTTGATCAGATGTCAAAATAGTTTTCCATTATCATTAAAAGTATCACATTCTTCTCCAGCTGGTGTCTTAATAGCCACACAACAGAGAAAGATACTCAGCTGTGGGTTCTTTTGTAAGTGTATAGGAGGGAACATATGTGTGTACACAAGTTTATGTGTGTCTGTGTGTATCTATGTGAGGTTACTAGAGGTTGATGTTCAGTGTGTTCAAAAATCACTTTTCACTCTATTTTTGAGAACAGTTCTCTCTCACTGGACTTGAAGCTTCGTAGTTTGGATGGAATGATAAGCCAGCAAACCCCAACGACCCTAATCTGTTCAACTTCACAGCACTGATTAAAGATACATGTTGGCAAAGATAGCTTTAAATATGGGTGCTGAGGATCCAAACTCAAGTCCCCGTGCTTTTCCACATCAAACATTTACTGACTAGAGAATCTCCCCCGGCCTGAGTAACTTCCTTTCATTTTTCAAATTACATTTGTGTTTGTGTGTATATACATATGCATGCCACAGGACACATATGAAAGTTAAAGAACAAGTTTCAGCGTTATTTTTCATATCCACCATATGTGATATGGGGATCAAACTCAGATGGTCAGGCTTGGTGGCAAGTCCATTAACACACTGGGCCATCTTATTGACTTGGGTTAATTTCTTGGAGATACACTCCTAAGTAATTTGCAAGCTTTATGTTTAGATTTGAAATATGTTAAGAACTTATATTAAAGGGTCTGGAGAGATAGTTCACTGATTGCGAGCATCAGCTCCAGAGGACCCAGGTTCAATTCCCAGTACTTGGTAGCTTGCAACAGTCTGTAATTCCAATTTGAGGAAGTCTCACAACCTCACTCAGACATATATGCAGGCAAAACACCAATGCACATAAAATAAATATTAAATATTTTACTTACTTCAAAAATTTCCTCACTTGATGTCTGGTTGTCGGCAATTTCGACTTGCCACAAATGTCCCTTGTGATTTTCCCGGTGGGTCTCAGTTGGGGTAATGACTTTATGAATACCTAAAATGATTTTAAAAATAACCCTGTCCATTTATAACTCTGAAATCTTTTTTCATATAACTCCAACAGAAAAGTGTTTCTTCTTATCCTCACGGAAACTATAAAATATTGACTTGTGAGAATGTATACATTTTAGCTCTTCTTGAGGTTTATAGTTATTTGCTTTACCTTGCATGTGTGCCCCCATGCCCAGCACCATCTGAGTCTTTTAAGTTAAATAATACATCTGAAATGTGCCTCATCTTTTTTTCCCTGAAGATTCCAATGATAAACACTAAGAATGACACCATTTCTTGGTTATTGTGGTCATGGGGCTTGAAGGTCTGCCACAGGATCCTTAGTCTCACCATGCATAGATCCAGGACGGGCACACTTGTACCATGCAGCAGTTCTATTTTTCATAACTAAAAGAACTCCATACTGGATGGGTAGTTCTATATTATCACCAACATGTATACGGGTTGTTTCTTCATATAGTCTTAATATTAATCCAATACTGAGTGAATACCTGGAAAAGATTTTTTTTTTTTCTATAAGATGCTTCTCCATTCTGGTTATTACTGGATAGAAAACTTTAATTTAGAAAAAAAAAAGGCATTCATTTTTGTTGTGGTGGTGGTTGTTTTTGTTTCAGATATGGTCTCATTTACCATATTCTGGCCTTGAATCTTAGTATATGGAGGATGACTGTGAATTCCTCTCACTTTGGGGGTTTTAGGCATGGCCCACCATGCCCTGCTAGATTCATATTCCAGAGCTGTTTACATTCTATTCAGAAGTCACCACACATGGCATATTCAAATGTGTTTGCATGAATTTCTCCAGCTGTCTCGAGATTAAAGGCCTCCAGTTAAGATCTCTGTTCTGGACAGGATCCTTCCATAGAGTTCCTCTGAAAGACACTACCCACCAGGGTATCAAAGGAGATACTGAGATTCGGAGCCACACTTAGAGCAGCATGTCGGAATCCTTAAGGAAGAAGAGGGAGATAGAGAGATCTGGAGGGGACAGGAGCTCCACAAGAAGAACAACATAGCAAAAATAACTGGGCCCAGGGGATCCTGCAGAGACCGATACTTCAGCCAAGGACCATGTGTGAAGATAACCTAGAACTCCTGTTCAAAGGAAGCCTATAGGCTGCTCAATTTCTAAGTGGGTTCCCTAGTAAGGGGTACAGGAACTGTCTCTGGCATGAACTTAGTGGCCAGCTCTTTGATCACCTCCCCCTGGGGGGTGCAGTCTTGCCAGGCCACAGAGGAAGATGATGGAGCCAACCTTGATGAGACCTGATAAGCTAGGGTCAGATAGAAGGGGAGGAAGTCCTCCCATATCAGGGAAATAGGGAAAGGGCATAGAGAGATAAGAGTAAGTGGGTGGGACTAGGAAGAGATAAAGGAGAGGGCTACAGCAGGGATACAAAGTGAATAAACTGTAATAAATAAATTTATAAATAAAATTAAATTTAAAAAGACTTCTGTTCCATATGTATAATGTAAGACATAGCTGTCCAAGTGCAGTCTTTTATGTTTTTTGGAGATCTACTTTTTACAGAACCATCTTTTAAAAGTCCTTTTGTTGAAACATAGCTTCTTGGTAATACTATTGAGAAAAAAATGGCTAACGTCGTGTGAACATACTTTTGAATCATTGTGTAAGTCCATTTGAGGGTATGGGCTGAAATTTTCTGCTAACAGCTTTCTACTTGTTAATATAGGTCTTGTAGCATTATTTCAAAGCAGGTATAGGGGTATGTTCAGCATCACCTTTTCTACAGGATTCCATTGGCAAGTTGGCATTATTTCTTCTGTAAGACAATCATATGTTTATATTTTCCTGTTATCTACAGAATATGTTATCATTTCCAAGGAGTGCACTGAATGTGTAGATAGTTTTCATTAAAGGATAATTTAGGTGCTGGATAGCTGGAAAAGATGCTTGTTATGCAAAATTAGCAATGTAAGTTCAAGCCTCAGAACCAACATAAAGGTAGAATGAAAAAAAATCTCGACATAGTTGTCCTTTGACCTCCATATACATGCTATAACACACATGCCCCTGCCACACACAGCAGGCCCATACAATAACAATAACAACAACAACAATAATAAGCTTTTAAAAATTAAAGAGATTTGGAGTATACTAATTGCATTAATGTATGAACATGTGATGTCTTTAATTACTCTATTGTCTTCCTCAATCTTGTTTTAGAAAATTACATTTATTTATTTGTCTATCTGTGACAGCGCACACATGTCACCCCCACATGTGTGGAGGACAAACCCATACGAGTCTGCTCTCTCCTTTCACTAAATGGGCTCAGTAATTGAACTCAAGCCCCTTATCTATTGAGCCATTTTGCTAACCCCAATTTCATCACTGTTATAGTTTTAACTGTACACACTGTTTAGAGTATTCCTAGGTAGCTTAGGGATTTTTGGAGGCAATTTTAAATTACATTGTATTCCTCATTTCCTTCTCAACATGTTCACTATTCATATGTAGACAAGATAATGAAAGCTAAGGATGAAGTTCAGTTGGTAGGGTGTTTGCCTGGCATACACAGGGTCCTGGTTTCAATCCCAGCACCACATAAAACTATGCAAGGTGTTACCCATCTCAGAGATTCAAGGTAATCATCTACTACATAGTGAAGTTGAGGTCATCCTGGACTACATGAGATGCTGCTTAGAAAAAATAGTTTCTGCCCTGGTTGAAGCCAAATCTCATGGTTATAGCACTTTGCTGGTACATGTGAGACCTAGATCTTATTCTTAGCAGAAAAGGGAGGGGAGGGGAAGCTGCTGATTTGCTCTGTTGAGTGTATAACTTGATACTTGCAACAACGTTTAAGAGCCTTTATGGTCAGCCGGGCCTGTTGGCACATGCCTTTAATCCCAGCGCTTGGGAGGCAGAAGTAGGTGGACCTCTGTGAGTTCAAGGCCAGCCTGGTCTACAAAGCGAGTTCCAAGGCAGCCAGGGCTGTTATACAGAAAAACCCTATGTCAAAGGAAAAACAGGATAGAATAGAACAGAACAGAACAGTAAAAAGAGCCTTTATGGTCACCTAAATATAGGGTCACTTCACCTATATCTCTCCTAACTTATATTCTTTGGTTTCTTTCTGCTTTTGCTATGCTTTATGATTTTGTTGTAATAAGTGCTTTTCTGCTCTTATTATGAAATTAACATATTTTAAAAAGACTGAAGAGAAAGAGTGAACACTGTATTATTGCTTATATTAAAGGAAATGTTCTCAGTTTGGATAGAGCACTACATTTATTTATTATTTTTTTAAGATTTATTTTATTTATTATTTATACAGTATTCTTCTGCATGCCAGAAGAGGGCACCAGATCTCACAGATGGTTGTGAGCCACCATGTGGTGGCTGGGAATTGAACTCAGGACCTTTGGATGAACAGCCAGTGCTTTTAAACTCTGAGCCATCTCTCCAACCTTCATTTATTCTTTCTTTTTCCTTGCTCTCTTCTTTTTGAGACATGATCTCTTTATGCATATCTAGCTATACTGGAGCTTGCTATGGAGACCTGGTAGCCTTAGAACTCACAGAGATACTTCTGCCTCACCACTACACCTAACACAGTTATGTTTTAGCATTTTGATAAATCTTGAATCCCACAGTAACCAATATTCACTGTAAAACCAAACTTTTCTTACAGAAGCTGACATCAGCACTGATCTATGAACACAAGCTGACAGGCATATCAGGTCCATTGAGAAAAACATGAGTATCAGCTTCTTCACTAAGGCGTCTAACTACCCCAGTCACAGGTTTTGATAATTCAGGTATTGAATTCAGTTATCAGAGTTGTCACTCGTGCTTGCTCTTTTACCAAACTCTGGGTTTCCAGAGTGCCCCTTGTAGAGGTAGAGGGATAGCTAGCTCTTCTCATTTTATGCTCAAGGTCTTTTCCCTCAGCAGCCTCAGTCTCTGTCACTACTAAGGGAAGAAAAGGTGAACTGAAGTAATAGCACTGTCACCAAAGAAAACCATTCATAAACATAAAATGAAAATTAACACAAAAGTAGAGCCTGTAATATGGCACCAGGGTTATAGGACGTGGCTGCCAGTGTGAGGATAGAACCTGAATTCTATCCTCAGGACCCAAACGGTAGAAACAAAGAAGCAATTCCCACAAGCTGCCCGCTGGCATCCCCCAGGGTGTGCCCTAACATGTGCATAAGCATGCAAACAGGAGCATGCATCTGCATACACTTCCGCACACAAATACATACTTTCACACACACATTAAGTAAAAACAAATACATAAATTAATAAAAATCAAAACTTACACAACAAAGAATACGTGAGTACAAATTTCAGGTAAAAATGAACAAGATTATGCTGGATGTGGTGGCACACATTTTTTTTTTAAGCATTTTAGTAATTTATTACCACGTGTAATAAATAGAAAAAAAATAGAAAAAAATTTCTATTTTTAAAATTACATTTATAACAATTTATTCAATTTGTATCCCAGCTATGGCCCCCTCTCTCCTCTCCTCCCAATCCCTCTCTCTTTTCCCCCTATGTCTCTCCCCCAGCCCACTGATAGGGGAGGGCCTCCTCCACGTCAATCTGACTCTAGCCTATCAGGTCTCAGTGGACTTGGGGAGGGGCATAAGAGGAGAAGAAGAAGGGTGGGTGGGATTGGAAGAGTATGAGGGAGGGAGCTACAGCTGGGATACAAAGTGAATGAACTATAACTTATAAAAAAATAAATAAATTTAAAAAATGAAACAATAACAGAGCAAGAAAAGTAGAAAACAGGGTTAAAAGAAAATAAAAAGGGAAAGGTATACATGAAAGGGGAACAGATAAACACAGGAGATAATGAATCTGGTGGGAAAATAAAAAAAAACCCACAAAGTTAAATAAGCTTGCAAGGAAGAATAAAAATACAAAGACAAAAGAATTGAATAAATAAAAAAAGAAGTAAAGTAAAACCACTAACCATAAAGTAAGAAGTTAAAGAAGAGAGGAGGGAAAAGAAATATTTTAATTTGTGTTCTCTGACAGTACTATCTGTTAAGAGCCAATGAAGTGTGGCTCTGGAGTCTAAGTAAGTTTTCTGTTCTCACCTTACCACATAGCACTGTGCTGGCTGGCTGCTGGCCTCATGAATGTTATGTACCAGCAATAGAGCAGCAGTCAATTAAAAATCACAAGTCAGAAACAACTAAAAACTAGGAGATAGGTTGATATGGCAAATTCTGTCCAGAAACCACAAAAATCCAGTGTTTAGTTGGGCTAGTTAAGTTAGAGATAGTGTTTAACATGACCAACATGATGAACTGTCCTCTTGCTGCCCTTCTATGCTCAGTATCCATTCACTGACCTGGAAGGCTCTGGATAGAGGCTTCTGCCACTGCCCATGGCCCAAGTCCATGCTCCAACTTGAAGATTAGCTCAGGTTTGGTCATGCAATGTCCTGTAAGTGGGGAATAATAAACAAGTTTTACAAAAAGGTTAGGTTCAGTGCACAAATGAAAGACAACAGATCTAACTCAGGACCTGTGCTTTGATCAGTGAATCAGATACTTTCATGAGAGGGTTTACACTCACATTTCATTGAATGGAATCACCTTCAATCAGCGTAATGATTTCCAGAAAATTTAAGAGAACAGAAGTGAATGAAAGAGAAAGCATAATAAAAGCGATATTTAAAACCAATTATTCAGGAGAGAATAATCAGCCTAGGTACCGAAAAGATGGCTCAGTGGTTAAGAACACTTGGCTACTCATACAGATGAATAGCACCCATATCACAATCACCTGTAACTCTAATTCCAGCTGTATTTTACTGTCTGTACTTACTGCCCACATGGTATAAATAAAAATATATTTTTTTAAATATTTTAAATAAACTAAATTGCTAGGCATGGTGGAATACGTATTTAACCCCAGCACTTGGAAGGCAGAGGCAGGAAGATCACTTTTGAGCCTGGTCTATGTAATGATAGATACACATGCATACCATACAATACAAATAAACAATATTTTTCCTTTGATTCAATATGGTGGTCGACACCGGCACCTGCAGAACTGTGGAGCAGCTCCAAGGAGGCTGAGAGACCTGCGGAGGCTCTGAAGGGAGACAAGAGGTGGAGGAGGAGACTGCAGAGACAGAACAACTAAACAGAGGCAGTTTTAGGGGAAAAAAAGCTTTTTAAAAGTAGCCTTCCAAAACTGGAAGAAAAGTTCACAGGGCAGGGCCATGTACACAGTGAAGAAGGATGAAACTAGAGATGAGGGAGCAAAGAGTATGGGAGCAGAATGGGAGTATGGTCACAGCAGACAAAGAGCATGTCCTTGATGAATAGGGCTGGTCCTCTGACCACTGGAAGGAGTGAGGGACAGCCTGCAGCATGGAGCCACTACTGCTACAGTCCAGGCTGCTCATCCTGCTGGGAGGAGGAGGTTGAGGAACTGTGGTGACAATCAATGCTCAGCCATACCTGGTGAGCCTCAAGACCCAGGTTCAACATATCCTGCTTTCATATATCCAGCCACAAGATCATCCTGACCTGACTCTGGGCAAAAACAGACTATCCAAGATGAGTCTCAACAATGGTCCGGTATTTGTGGTGCTTCGTCACAGTAAGTATTTGCATATAAAGCTGTTTGGCAAAAGATTATACTGTGACACACTGCAATTTGCAATGCTACTTTGGGAAACAAATGTGTGATGAAGAGGTGAGAAAAATGGTGGAACAGGTGGTGCAGACTTGGTAGAAGAAAAGTGGTGGTGACAGATGTGGAAGCATGGCTGCAGTGAATGGGGGGGGGGGGGCATGTCACTGCAGCATAGGGCTGGCAGGGTGTTATGCAGAGCTAACACACTTCTGCCCCAAACACCCCGTCCACCTGAATGACAGCCCTGACTTTGAGCAGCAGGATGTCCAAGATAGGGAATGGTTTATTTTTTCAATTAGGCCTCCTCAAAAGATCTCTGTGGTCTGTGCTGCCTCCAGAAGCCATGTTGGTATCCCTTGTCAGTGCTATATCCTGGAGATGTGATGGCACTGTGGTCCATGCTGCCATCTGAGGCCATGTTAATGTCTGTGGTCTACACTGCCACCTGAGGTCATGTTGATATTTGTGGTCCATATTACCACTGGAGGACATATGGATGTCTGGGGACCATGCTGCTATCAGAAGCCAAGTTGATGTCAGTGATCCCTAATGCTACCGGGGACCATGTTGAGGTTCACAGTACATGCTGCGACCAGAGGACTTTCAGATGACTATGGCCCTTGCTGCTATTGAGGCCCATTTTGGCATCAATGATCCATGCTGCTGCAGGGAGCCACATTGATCTCTGTGGTCTGTGCTCCCACTGGAGACCATGTCTGTGGTCCATGTTACCACTTGAAGCCATGTTGATATCTGTAGTCTGTGCTGTCACCAGAAACCACATAGAAGTACATGATATGGCTGCTGCTGCTATTATGGGCAAGGAAGCTTCCTTGGCCATAGTATCAAAGAACACTGCAGACGTACAGTTAAGAATGAAAGACAGTGAGGCTTCTGTGACAATCTCTCCCCCTACCAACCTCCTCAGAAAGAAACAGTCCAGCTAGGAAGCTACTGAAGAGAGCCTTTAAAAATTGTGCTAGGAACTCTAAAGTGTAGCTCTTCATAGTTGATAACTTCTGGTCGGAAAATAGGGTGGGAAAAGACCCAATTATCTTTCAGGGGCTAGCCACTGGGAATTTGACCATGCTCCAGTGAGTCTATGGGCAACAAATATTGGATATGTTGTATTCCCCCCTTTTTTTCCTTCTTTTTATGGGGCAGGTTATGACAGTGTATAGATGGGGACCCTGGGAGGAGTGTGAGGCAAGTGTGATCAGGGTGCACTGTGTGAAATTCCCAAATAAGCAATAAAAATATTATGTTGGAAAAAATTTTTAAAGGTTCAATACTTTTATGGTTTACTTATTTGTACTTAACTTTTGGTAATGCTGAAACTTACATATAGAATCTCAGTCATAATACAGAAGTCCCTTACTAATTATATATAATCACAAATCCACTTTTCTTTTGGATTTGTTTCATTTGATGTGTAAGAGGATTTTGCCTGCATGTATGTACATACACCAAGTGCATGCCTGGTGCCTACAGAGGTCAGAATAGGACATCAGATACCCTGGAACTGGAGTTACGGATGGCTGTAAGCCACCATGTTGGTGCTGGAAACCAACCTGAATCATTAGTGAGAGCAACAAATGTTCTTAACCAGTAAGCCATCTCTTTAGCCCAACAAGTCCACTTTTAAAATTTGTTCACCACATACATTTATTTACTTGTGGTCTCTGTGTGTATATGTGTACGTGCTTGAGCATAAACAAGCCATGTCACATACGTGGAAGATGGAGAAAAACTTTCAGTAGTTACTTTTCTCATTCCACAATGTGGGTCCTGAGGTTGAACTTGGGTGGTCAGGCTTGGCAGCAACCATCTTTACATATTGAGTCTTCCCACCAGCCCCACAATTTTGTTTTACAAAAACTAAGGAATTGATAAGTACATTAGTTGTTTAGTGTCAAACAGTCAGCCCTGGAGGCATACATACAAATAATATTCTATGATCCAACAGAAGGCAGAGGTAGGTGGATCTCTTGAGTTAAAGGCTGGTATGGTCTACAAAGTTCCAGGATACCCAGGGCTGCACAGAAAAATCTTGTCACAACAAACATACAAACAAACAAACAAAATTAAATATGAGGGTCTGAATAGATGGCTCAGTGGACAAAGGACGCTCACTGCTGTTACAGAGGTGTTGGTATAAATGTTCTTGTGGGATGTATACAATTTACCCTTGTTCATTCAAATGCTGATTTCTATACCCCACTCTCTGGTTTCAAACAGGACAATGCATTATGAGGTTTATTCTAAGCATCACCTGTCTCAAGTTTGTGTAATCATGTCACCATTTGTTCTCTGAATTGTCAACTACACAACCAGCCAATACTGAGCAGTAGAGTGAATAGGCTGGGACATCCTGG